ATATGCATTGTATTACAGGATAACGCAACTAAGGTAGTTGGATACTCCTGCGCTATGCAGCGATCGAAATATGATGGTATTATTGCCACACTGATAATTGTAATTTAGAAGACTAAAGTTATGTGCAGTATGAAAAACTTTGTGTAACACTCTTAAAGTTCGAAATTTCAAACTTATAGTGCAAAAATAAAAAAGGTTATATGTACAATGGCCGTATGTATCGTAAAATATATTCATTGTTCACTTTTAACACGAAGAAAATACCTAAAATCTATGGTTGTCAAGGTACTAACAACTATTTGAAGTTCAATGATATTTCAAAATCGATTTATTTAACCTGTAAACTATTACACACAGTTATGTGTCGACAAAACACATCCACATTTATAGATGCGTACATATAACTCAAAACAGTACCAGGCTGAAGTTTGGTTGATGCCGTTGGTGATTATACGTACTTCACGTTAAAAACAAATAAATATATTGATAATTATTTAACCTAGTATGTACCTTATAATTATATCATTGTTATTCCCAAGTCATGGCTAGTGGGAATATACTAGTACTGGTATACGTGCGGTTATTACGGTTACCTGGTCAGAATACCATAGCCATAGCCTACATATATATATACAGAAAAATACTTATCCTTTCACGCCGTTTCGTTACAATGTGCACGAAGAAATAGGAATAGCACGTGCATTATACATATTGTTAGTTAAACATTAACTCTATGTAAGTGTTGTGTACAAGTGTTACATTAAAATTTATAATATATTATTATACAACAGCCGGCGGTATATTGCTTTTCGTCATTCACGTTTTTACACACGTATTATCGTAAAGATAGGTAATATTTTTTATTACAATCCAATAATATTATATGTCTATTAAAAATATTTATGGCTCAGTATATACATATCATGTAAGTCACAACTGTAAAATATTGTTTAGGGAAGTTGCGATTGTTTTTTACAACGTAAAAACCATTTTTATTAGAAAAATTATGCGGGCTATTATATTTTTTTATATTGATATAGTTAAATGTTGACAACATTTTTAAAGCCTAAGCGCCTATATTTCAAAACAAAGATAATTTAACATGTTCTCATTGAATCTCCAACAAACTGATTCAACTGTTGATGTAGTACTTCAATGTATTAAAACTTACTTTAAAACTGAGACGGTATTTTTAGGCATACTCAGACGGTATTTTTAGGCATACTCAATAGTATAATTTAGAACTAAAAACCGTAGTTCAAAATATAATCTCAATAAATAATATAATTGGTCATTACAATATTATTCTATAATACATCACAACAGCATACAACCGCTCAAGAATCAAGACCGGATACAAAGCACAGCGCTTTGTTTATACTACATCATAAATCGAACGATTCAATGTTAGCGATTTCGTATCTCGTAAATCATAATAAAACGTTTGATCGCTACAAATGATCGATTTTAATTTTTTCAAAATGAGTGCCTTCATTAATTACGACTATTTGCGATATTAAACGAAATAATATGAATATAATCTGATATCTGGAATGCGGTTAAAAACCAAGACGCTATATTATAAGACACGAGTATAATACCTATGGTACAGAAAATCTGGATTGTATCAGAAGTTAGAATACGCAGATTTTGCATTATATTCTCAAGTCTAATACGTAGAGTATTATTGTGTAGAACGCACGGGCCACTGTAGTACACATTGTGAGATTTTACAAGCTCAACTCTTTGGGCAGCAAATCTTTTCTTTTTTTTTTTTTTTTATTGAAACTCCATGATATAGTGGGCATAATATTATATTATATTATATTGAGTGGTGAGCGTGTAATAATAGTATTCGCTGTTCGCCGCTGATCCTTATCAATAATACTATACTATTAAATTATATTATACATCGGTGGAATGATTAAGCGAAAACCACAATATTTAAGTCCATACTACAGATGTCGCATTTATTTTACCAATGAGATAAAATACAAAATGCAATACTACTGGGACAAATATAAACTCAGCACAGAAATAATGACTCTGCTGATCCGATGATATTCGTCACGATATTATAATTCAATATTGTTGAAAGAATTCACGTGTTATTCGGTGTAAAACTATAAACTATAATATGTAATAACTATGAGTACCAAACAAAAATCCATTTAAAGTATCGCGCATTATAAACATAAATTCTAGTCCTTGATTTATTTTCTCGTACATTTCATAATTTTTAGTTTACCTTTAAATCATTTGCTCCTTTATTTTGGCCAAGTTCGATTTTGACGTTTTCGATAATGTATACAGTCGTCCAGAACTTTCATCAAATGAAAGTGATGCACATTGTATAGTTAAAGAATTAGTGATAAAGCCAAAATTACTTTTTAAATAAGCTGAATCAATCTAATTTTCAAACAAGAATATTGAATTCTTTATCTACTTTGCAGTGCTTTCGTCTTTGGATAAAAACAGTGATTTAATATAATCGCTAAGTTTTCAAACTAAGGAGGAGTGGTAATGCTGGAAAAATGTCTTGAATTTCAACACACGACTAGGTACTTTCAAAAATAATTGTTCTAATACAACTCATCATGCTATCTATATTCGACAATTTTTATCAATCACCATTGCTAAAATATACCACAAAACATAAATTTTACACGTCAATTGTTAAAATATGCAAAAAATATGCGAAATAAAATAACCACCATTTACTTCAACGTGATGTTGTAATTCGGGGACATATAAATAAAAAACAGTAATCATAAATTGCAAAAAAAAAAAAAAAATACTTAAATTCATACAAATGTTAGTTCTATATATTAGAAATGTAATCAATAAATAATAGAGCAAGTGTAGTAACATATTTTTTTGATTTTTGTATATTTTATTTTATTTTATTTTGTTAATGCCATTGGGGTTTTATTAAAAAATTAATATTAATAAATAACTTGTTTTGAACTGACCAGTGGCTAAGTGCGCATATAAGTACGTATGATATTGCGACGTTATTAGGCCAAGTAAGATTGAGTACTTAAAACGTTAAAAATGGTGAACAATGTTAATAGTGAAAACGTGATTAATTATTTCGATGTAGAAAAAAAAAACGTGTGGGTAATGTAATCAGCAAAATTGTGTAATCGTCGGTTGTTAAACCATTTTAAAATACAACAACTTCTATAGTCGTATTATTATAATATTATTTATATATATTATCCAATTTCAACAATTGCTGTAATAATTAATGATCGATTTTTAATGGTATTTTTCTGATGTCTACACGCTTAAGTTTTCGACTAAAATCACTTTTAAAAAATTTAGTAATGATTTCTACAACAGTCATACTATTGTAATCTCACAAAATAAATAAAATGCAATCCGTTTAAAAGATACCTTTGCTTATCTTGGTAGACGAATAACTATTGCATAAATGTTGTAAATTATAAAATAGATAAATAAAATTGTATTAGAGGAATATAATCACACAATCATAAAATATATAGTACTTTTTAATAATGAGAACTAAAAGACAATTATATTCAAATAAAAATTCTGAAATATTATGAAATAATTGTTATTGTAATTGATTGAATTACTCTCAATAGCTTTTAATATTCAGTAATTAATCATCATTATTCATTGTTTAATGTGTAAATATATTACTATGGTATTAAATGTTTATATCATCTGCGTTAGAAACAAAATTTGTAATTGCCTGCTAAAAATCAAATAGGCAAAAAACATGTTTTTTTGTAGATACTGAAACAAAATAAATATAATTTTAAATAATTAAAATCTCTATTATTTGTCATTCAATTAATTCAAACTTCGTAAACAATTAAACTTCAATGACGTAAACAATTTTACGATAAATGAAAAAAAAAAATTCAAATGCCTTTAAATACCTTTCTAATAATCAACATATTTTGAAAGCTATTTACGCCGAAACTTCACTTCTGTCAACGCTAAATAGATTGTATAGGCTATTTTTATAAATTTCCGCTATGCTAATGAACACCACGCCTCTGGACGTCTTATTTGAATATCCATTCTCATCCGTTTTCTCAATTTATCACTAATGAATTATTAATATTATTATGTATATCCGAATTAATATTTTCTTTGGATACCTTAAATTCAATTCACTGATTATAAATATTAATATTATTATCTAATTTTTATTAAACATAATTAATTTTACTTTTTTTATGTTGTCTTTTCGTCATTCTTATTATCACACTACAGTAGTATAGGTACACTTTTGGTTTTCGTTTCTTTTTTGTGTATTATTGATTATTATTATTATTACATTTTCTCGTAAAACATGTAAAATTGTTTCGTTGGCGTTGCAAATTACTTGAGGATAATATTATAAATTATAATTTATAATATACATTATAATTCTTACATACTATAATATTTAAACCATGTTTTTCGTTGACCTGAGACTTAACCTCGATACTAAGTTCGGTACTGATACTAAAAGAACCCGTGTAAGTCCACCATAAACTAATAAAACTTTAGTGGGTTGTATGAGTGGCCACGTAGCTGTACTACTTACCAGTTAATAATTCACAACCATCCGCCTGCCTTAAACATAATATTATAACTTAAAATATATGCATGTTTCTATATTTATAAGATACTTTGTCGTCATTTGCACTATACCAAATCAGATATATAATCACTCGTATCTATAATTAAACTGTACTTTTCTTATTCCCAAGTGACGTAAATTTCTCATCCAAATTGTCGTCATCGTGCATTAGATTTTAACTTTACTATTATCGAATACCCAGGCGTGTTGGTTGAATTGCCTATCCAACAAATAAGCAAACGCATTATTAGGCATAGACATATTATTGAAATCATCAAATTCGGTTTCGGATGACACAAGTCATCTGGCACTTCAAGTATATTTCGAGAACATACACCTTTATTGTGTGTAACATTAAATGATTCAATTACTTTAATTTTCAAATATATTAAACGTGTTAGTATTTATTTATTTTATTAGTAATTTATATAAATAATTTTATAAATTTTAAGGCATTAATAAACAATAAGAGTGTTGCAACCTAAAAAACTATTCTCTCCAAGCACTAAGATCCAAGTTCAATAAATGATCTCTGCATTTTATTTTGCGCGAATATCTGTAATAAACAATAATTTACATTCGAATTAAAAGATATAAATATAAATTGAGTAATGATAATATCAAATATTACGTATACTATACAATAAATGAAAAATATTAGCGAATTTTTTTAATTTTAAAACTTGTTGGAAAGTTCAAGAATATATACAAGAATGCAAGTAATAATTAACTATACGAATAATTAAAATACTTAGGGAAAAATTATTGAACACATAACTTCTTTCTGTAGGTACGTAGATACGTAATAGAACTTTGAACCTATAACTAAAAAAATAAAATATTTACCTAGTTGTCTTAAAAACGTTAACTGGAACTTCATTCAATTCAGTTGTAGCACATAATACATGACCAAGGTCGAGGTTTCTCAAAGTTCTCAATTGTGCTAATATCATAAACAAATATGTAGGATATATCAGTATTATATTCACGAATTTAACTATAAATTTATAAAAATACCAATAACTTTATCCTTATACATACCTGATGAATAACTTCCTGCTTGATTGGACACATCAAAAAAGTAACGGTCACCATATCTAATACGATAAAATACATCAGCTATGATGCACTGTGCAGTTGGACCAACCGTTCCACCGTCAACTGGTCGTTCAAGTAAAGCTCCCACGAGTAAATCAATGTCATACACAGATGCGTATAGTTGTTTTAGTTTTTCGACGTCCTATAATCGTGATTGGATATTATTATTACAATTTAATATAGAGTTTAGAGTCAAGTTGAGATCAAGTATTTGATAATATACAAACATACGATATAAATAATTGAACAATAAATAGTTTTAAAATAATTTAAGTATATAAAATAATACATTTTTGAAACTATAAACATCCGCACGAGGTTTTAATCTGTAGTTGTAATTTAAGGGCGTTAGTAAATAAATTTAGTAACTATTTATTTGAAGAATAAAACATAAACAACATTTTTAATTTCCATTTTTGTATACCTTTAAATAATTATCATTAACAACATAATTATTGAGAAATAAATACAATAAACTTACATCATATGATAAAATTGTATATAAATCTTCAAATGAATTGACTTTTTTAAAATTACACAAACTTCTTATCGTAATATACGATGGTACGCCAACGTCACGCCCTCTTTGAATGTCCACTGACAGTAAATCTGTGTTGCCAACGACATTAAATCGGAACATGAAATTTGATATCTATTACATGTTTAAATATTTCTGATGTAATAATATGTAATAATTGATACAATTTAAAGTAAAACCTTCCATATCAAAAACCTCTCAATAGCGAACGTTATTTTAGGAATAAGGACATTTTTACAAATTTTTACTAGGAAAACCTTCAAATAGGGAATACTTACCTTTTTTAATCTTAATTTAAAAATAATGTAAAACGACGAAAAAAACGCACTTACACTAATATAATGATAACAGACTTTTTAAAACTTGATTTTTTTTCACACCAAATTGAATTGAATTTATATATGCATGTATTCCTTTTTTTATATATTTACTGTTTAAATATTAAAATTATCTTATCAATAAAACATAAAATCTTAATATTTACATATATACAGTCCTTTTAAAACATTAAATAATAATAATATAACTTAATTTAACTTATCACATAATTTTTCCTTTTATACATTTACACTTAATGAATTATAAAATTTTACACCTTCTGAATAGTGGACACCTCCAAATAACGAACAAAATTTCGGTGATCAAAAGTATGTCCACTAATCGACAGTTTCACTGTAATACTTGTATTATTATATTATCAATACCTAATCAAATATCATGATATCGATTTATATTAAATATTGATTATTTACTTTCAATTATAAATTAATTAATACTAAATACCCATATTTAATAAGTACTTACTAAAAAATTAAACGAAGGTGTAAACATACGGCCTGGTGTTACCGTCATACCTCTGACTATTTCATCAAAATTTGAGCCCTCTACTAAGGGATCAGGTTTTGACATCCATTCGCCAAGTCTTACTGAATCCACTATTTCATAATTATTGTTTACAAAACTGTTAGTGTAAAAAAATATAATGAAAACAATACACAATAAATACCATAAGGCATAAATACAAAAATTTTACTTGTATAACGAAGGCACTGTATTGTGTGGCACTCGAAAAGCACCACCTGCGAATTCTGTTGTCAATTGTGGCATGAGCGAAGGATTATACCGTGTCCTTCTACTCTTTCTAAGATCTAAGCCGACGCGTCTTGTGAACGATTTGCCTGTGCATACATAAAAAACATTAATTTACATTTTCTTTATACTACAATACGGGCAACATCCCAAACAGACAGCATACAATTAATATGAGGAGTTTGAGGATTATAAAATACAAATTAATTAAACAGAAATGACATTCCTCGTTGACAATGCAAATTCTCCTGAAGATCTGTCTGTCACGATATTAAACAGTAAAAAGTAAAATAATAATTACACAATACTCATTGGTTATACACTTATATTGCTTCTAATTGATAAATTTGTTTTTGATTTTTTTTAAATTAATTAATGAAAGCTACAATACAAGTTAAAGAAAACTTTCAAAATATATTTTTGACAAATAAATAATTTTAAATACACAAAATCTCAAATCGGGAACATTGCAGTTGTATTATATTTATCAGTAACCACTAAACAATTGGCCGAGCATAAAACAAAATCATTACCTGCTATTGATGATTTGTCTTTCCCTCAAATTTATAATATACATAATTATACAACACTGGTTTTGACGCATAATCGAAGTTAGTAAAGTTAATTAAAAGCTCAATACCTCAATACCTCTGTATTTGTAATAAAAGTAATTTTTTTATGTAGAATTCACTCCAAATACTTTCTAATATAATGATATTTTAAATATTTAAATGATGTAAATACCAAGTAAAATAGGCAAATAATCCCGATAAACAATTATTTGGTTTAGTGCGCCAACGAACTTTCTAGCTTCTTGATATAACACTTCATCAGACCATTGAGGATTTATTTTTTGTAACTTATCAGCCACAATATTATGATACCTGGTAAACATTATTGTATATGCTGTGAGCCCAAAGTGTTGATTTAATCTTGGATCTCCTATAAATAAATGTAAATAATATTATATTATAAACACGAATAACAATATAAATATTGTTTTATTTTATTTAAATTATTATTCACGTTGTCTAATCAATGAATTTAATAACTAAAATATAGCATTGCTTACACATTGACTTTTAATATGATTTTAGAAACTTCAGGTAAACAAAACTTTGCTAAAAATTATTTTCAAATGTAATAATATCTTTTCAAAAATGTGAAACAGATAAAAAAAAAACGCTGATTGCAATGATCTAAAACGAAACAATAAGTCAACACCAATAAACTATAGATATTTTATCACTAATATTTACAAATGTTACATAATAAATATATTTTAATACCACGTGCATTTAAAACAAAATTCGAAACATTGAATTAATTATCTACCGATTACGTAAAAAATTTATTCGGCAAGATTCATCATTTTCAAATTCTACCGAAAAAATATCACAACCATATAATATAACAGTAATAATGATTATTAGACATTAAATAATTTTAATGAAATAAAATCTACAATAATTATTGTTACGTAAATAATTGTATAACATTACCAGCTTCGAAACAAATGCCCACGTTTTCTCGATCATCACATAATAATGATCCGTATCTTTTCTTTTGAGGAATAAACTCTTGCCCATTTATGATATCTGTTTTCAACCTTCCTCCATTGAACGATCTAATTGAATCTGCCTTATCTTTGTTATGTCCATACAATTGTGACGCGTCAAAGAATGATGTCGCCTGATTCATCTGTGAAATAATTATCAAATACATCTTTAATGTTGGAAACAAATTTTTGGTAGGTATATAATTATATTTACAGACATTATAATCAGAATGTTCAATAGTTTTCAGAGAACAATTAAGTATAGAAGAATGTATAATGAAACTAAAATTTATACAATATAAGCTAGTTTTGGATGATTTAACGACAATGTCTCTAAAATATCATTAAAATCCTTTAATAATGATCTCACTGTACTAAATTGTAATTCAAAAATAAAATCTCCCTCACTACCATAAAAAAACCCCGTTGGTGACAATTCAAGATAGAGTTTAGATTCATCAAAAAGCTAGACACACTAATATTATATAATATTATAATACCATTAAACTCTATTTAATCATAAATTGTAACAGTATTATTTATACATCTTGTATCTAAAATCTACGCATTACTTATTCTTACTTCAAATCACTAGGTGTAATTAAAAATCTTAAAATTCTATCTGATTAGTACTGAATAAACTCTCAAGGGCTGAAATATTATAAGTTTTAACTTTCAACTTTTAAGTTTTATAATCAAGAATCAAGATATAGATTATATTTACGTTAATCTGTGTCCAAAAATAATATCTGATATGATGTCAATAAAATAAAATAAATATTTTATTAAAAATTAACACTTACCGGGGTTTGAGGAATTACGGGACAATTGAAATTATTGGCAACTGTCATTGCACGTCTAAACTCCATACAAGTTTGTCCATAACGACCAAGAACTGGGTCATTCACAGGTATCTCAATAGCTAATTGACATTGGTATGGGCTTCTACTATTGATTTTGTAAATCGGAATGGAACAACACTTTTCTGGCCCTGTTCACATTATCGACAATAACTTAAATTGTAAATCATAATTTATATTTTAAAATACGTAATTAAATAAATTTAGACGGTATAATATACGTATAATCTAGAAGTCATATTTTATAATTTTATCGACGAAATTACTTAATGTATAATCAATGATCTATGATAGGACTTACTGAAAAAAAGAAGTTGTTTTTACCTGATGTATCGGATTCCATGAGGCTAATATCATGATTGGCCCATTGGCCAAATTGACTTAGATGGTAATTGTTATTGTATTTATCTGGTATATTATTCCTGGCTCTTTGCAAAAATATAACTATCTGTAATTCACGAGGTCTAGGCAACAGAGAACCATTCATTTGTTTACGAACTTCATAAATACCTAATGATCATAGTATTTATAAAATAATAATAACACATAAACGATATACAATATTATAGCAAATTTAAATTGCATTAATGTCTTAATGATATCAATAAATTGTTTTAGTAGGTAAAACTACTAAATGCTGTTATTCAAAACATGTTTTGCTAATATAAACATACTGTTTAAATTGCAGGTAACATATCAAATAATTATAATAAATATTAATTGTTATATTAAGTAGTTATACTCGTATACTATGTAGCATACACTTATAGTGAAACTTCGATGCTATATAAATCACTGCATAATGTTAAACGTTATTAAATTATCCTAAAGATCTTCAAATGAGCCCTGCAACTATGATTCAATACCTTTGTAAGCAAATATTCCACAAAAGTCAACTTAAAAAATTAAAAAATTCAACTAATGCAATCACTGGTTAAAAGTGAAAAATTAATTCAATAACTTGACTAAAAAAAATTAGTTTATTCATTTTTTTATTAATTAAATTATGAAATGATAAAACACCACTATAACTACTTACGTATATAATTTTAAAATCAATATTGCGATGGTCATTTAGATAAGAATCAAAATTCAAGTTCCTGTACCAATCTATGGAGTAATTCATTAAGACTATTAAGCAAACTCAACCTCATTTATTCAAATTCTGACTTTTGAAATTTTTAAATATATCATATTTTTAAATTATTTTTTATAGTACCTATACTTAAGGAGTGTCTTGCAGTGGTACAAACTTCTGTTTTACAAATGATAATTCTTTTTTTTAACTATGAAAGTAAATAACTTTTTTTTAAATGTTAATGTATCTAATTTAAAATTCGATTGAGTAATTTTTCAGCTATTAAAATATTTATAATAAAAATTAAAGCTCTTAAAAATTGGTCATACAAAAATACATAATATATGTAATATCGAATATATTATTTATTATATTTGAAAATTTTTATAAATTTTAAAATTGATAAATTAAAAAAAACTTTCAAGAGTTTTAAAACTTTAAAATGTGATTTTTTAAATTATTTAAAAATTTCAAAGATCGGATTTTGAATAACTCTGTAATGGAAAAAATACATTTTTAACGTGATTCGTGAACCACTCTTTACCTAAACACATCTACGTGAAAGTAGTTGGAGACATTTATATATTCATAATATATATTATTAGGAAAATATCTCATTACATTATTGTTTTAATATTTTAAATATTCAAGCTCACCGTCATTATAAGCAGCTTCAGAAAGTCTGATGTATGGAGTCACAGACGATCCCCACAAAGGATTCTTCAAGTTATTACATTCACCATTTATTGTCCTGTAAATTTTATTTCGTTTGCACGTCACTTTTGATACACACTTATCATAGTATATGCTATTAGAATGAGGACCATCTCCACGGTAAATCACAGGATCGTCATTGTTCGACTAGAGATAAAATATCAAAAAGTTAAAAAATCAAATACATTTTCTGTATCATAATTATTAAATAATAATATATAAATATATTATTGTTATTATTACGGTTGATGTATTATATTAGAGTTTTTTAAACTTTAAAATAATATAGGAACACTAAAAAAAAATAATAAACAATGAGAAATATGTTTATGAAAAATGTAAAAATTAATATCCATGGCTGTAATGAATTAGGTACCTGACTTCACCTGGGAACAAATAACTAATATAAATAACAGCACTTGATGTAATTCTCGGACTTCACCTCAATTCACGGGCAAGTCGGTTTCGGTGATGTAACCTACCTCGTTTTGTGAACAAATCCAAACTAAACGGGAGATTTACCTGTGCTTGGTTTGCTGTAATTCAGTTTAAGTGTAATAACTATTTGAGCAAATTGGTACAAATTCTTAACTTAGAAATGATAAACGAACAGAAATTAATTTTCAAAAGGAGGCATTTTTGCCCGTAACAGCCAAATTGAATAACAATAAATAACTTATTTTAATAAGCAAGAAACAATAATATTTTTTCATATTAAAAAAAAAATGCTTATGTGAACTACCCTAAAAATGTCGAATATTTCTCAGTTAGGCCTCTAAAGAGACCCGAGTTAAACTTCCTAAGACCCAATAGATCTATCGATACACATTTTGCTGAAATCAGTCTAGTGGTTTTAAAGATATTATTTTGCTAAATTTTACATATATGCATAGTTAAAGGTTTAAATGCATTTAACGTGTCTTACTTTAATTAATTTTCAAATATTATTATATTATTTACACTGTCTATAAAAGATAAATGCATTTAGCTACTTTTTTCAACTATAATTTACATTTAAATCTTTTTATAAATTACTTATTATTGTTACTTACTAAATAACTCGATGAAGTTCCCAAAAGTGATATGACACATAACCATACAAACAAATTTAACATCTTTGTACATACGAATTTAAAACTTGAAAATAAATAAAATTTACTTATTAAACATTATTTATTTAATAAAAATTTTGCACAATCTAAATAAATTAAACATAATATGTAAAATATATGAGGAAAATTGAATTTTTTTACGATCTTGTGATTTTACTATATCAAAGTAATGACTTATTTTTTTTTAATTTACAATTGATTGATAGCTAAAGCGCAAAATTAAAAAGTGAGAGTAATAGAAAGACTAATCAACCCCTTACTCTCACATATTCATACACACAATTATATAACCCTTAAAATACCTTTATATACTTTGTAAAACGTTAATAAATACCTGACAACAGGCTTATAATAGTTTTTATACTAAAATATTAATGTGATAATATTTTTAATCTATTTTACATCCATTGAACATCCAATCAATATTTTAAACACAAATAATTAAAAAAAAAAAAATCAATATTATATAGAATGGTTTACATTCAAACATAGTTTTAGAATAAAAAAAATACTTACATAAAACTTACAGTTTTTATTTCGTATCAAATGTACAAAAATAATAAAAAAATTATCTAAATTAATATAAAGAGAGCTAAATCTAAAAATAATGTACTTTACTTCTGGTGTAGGATACAACTTTCTAGTTTTAATGTGTTCTCAAACAATAATTATCATACCTCGATGGTTCATAATTGAATATTTTAATTATTGACAAACAATTATTATCAACATATGGTCTAATAAATATTAACAAATATTTTGCACATGTCGATGATCATGCTTCTATAATGTATATTATGTTATAAACATTTAACAAGTGTTTGTAATTTGTGACAACTTTTAGTTACATAATAACTATCTCTGTGATGAATTTGTAAGCACCACAGAATTAAGAGAAAATTAAAGAACAACTATATAAACTCCTTCACGAAATATCATATTCTAAGGATAAAAATACAGTAATTTATGTCACTATTTTTTTCCAACAAAACATAAAATTTTATATTATTAAATATCAACATCTTTAATAAAATTAAAAGTGTAAGGCAGTACGTAGTTTATTCAAGGTATTGTAACGAAATTACTTTCAAAGAACAGGTCGTCGCAATAATTTTTATCTCTCTCAGACCTACGCGCTGTACAGATAAAACGTAAATACAAAACATTATATCCAAAATATCATTAAGAATATGAAAATCAATGTACAATTTATGAAAATTTTTTCATAGAGTTGAGTCAAAATCGTTTTTTCTTGTTTTTTTCACAATAAATTAATATGGTCATCTCTACACTCTTTGCACGATTAGATTCTTTAGTTGACGGCTACATTGTATTGTTCAGAAAATCTATACTTTTTAAACTTGACAATCGTATGATCATATTATTATTTCCAATCACAAATACTATTTTTGATTTTGATTTTAATTATAAATAGTTACTAATAATAATTATAACCAATGGAACTGGGTATGCAGATATGTATATGGCTTTATAGCCGGCTAAAAATACCTGGCTAGAATATACGTACAATAATCCTTAGTCCTTTCACGCTGTTTGTAGTATTTGATTGGACAGTAAAATACGAATGATACGCGAATAAAACCTTATTAATGGTGTTATTAGGAGTTAACACCTTAAAAACAAGACTCTATTTTGTATTCACCAATAGAGACTTAAATCTTAAGAGCATCTATAAATATTAACCCTGGTTTGGATAGATGTACATGTTATTTAAATTGTAGAATATATGTTAGTATTTTATGGTTGTTAGTATTTATTGCATTTATTTAAAATTTTGAATTAAAAATAACATCTGATTCGTATACAATTAACGTCTTACATATAGTATTATAATGGTTAATTAATAACTGATAAATCCATCAAATTATGAAGATTCTTTCCAAGCACTAAGATCCAACTTCGATAAATGATCTTTACATTTCACCATGTTCACCGTGCGTGAACGTCTGTAACAACCAATTAAGTAACAATATTTTTTAATATTAAAAATAATATTTATTTATTTATTATTACTTTTACCAAGCTTTAAATATTCAATGAACTTAAAACTTGTACTTATAGCATAAAAAAGAAAAATTCAAAAATTCAAAAATTAAAATCACTATAATATAATGTACAAAAATGATTTGTATAAAAATAATTTCGTGCATTTCATTCCAATAATTTGAACAGAAATTAATACTAGCACCAAATATTTTTTTATAATACTCGCCTTTATTTTGCCCCATTTCAGAGAGAAAAGTTATAAGAATAAAAATAAAACATAAATTAACTCAAGATATTTACATTTTATGCTCTAAAAATGGATTTGAAAAGTCAAAATAGATAAAAAAAAATAAAAATATAAACAAATAATTAAAATTCTAAACGATGAAATACTGAATACTTTTCTAATTAAATTTGTCATATTATACAACTAAAAATATATATTTACGCTGATGGTTTAAAAATATTAGCTGGCACTTCTTCCATATCAGTAGTAGCGCAGAATACATGACCCAAATCGAGGTGCCTCAAAGTTTTCAATTGTGCTAATATCATAAACAAAAATATAGGATATATTAGTTCCATTGTTATGAATCAAATCATGAGCTTAAAAAAATATTGATAACTGCATACATACCTGATGAATAACTTCCTGCTTGATTGGACACATCAAAAAAGTAACGGTCACCATATCTAATACGATAAAATACATCAGCTATGATGCACTGTGCAGTTGGACCAACCGTTCCACCGTCGATTGGTGGTTCGAGAAGAGCTCCGACGAGTAGATCAATGTCATGCACAGATGCGTACAGTTCTTTTAGTGTTTCAACGTCCTATAATCATGATTGGGTATTATTATTATAGACTAATACAAATTTAGAATTTAGTTGGTATCAAATACAGTAGAAACTTGATTAACCGCCATTTTATGTTATTCGTCATCGGTCAACGCCGAAAAAAGAAATTAAATTAGGCGACAAGACGATCGCGATAAACTCGTCGTGGTGCCCAACACAGTAACTATCAAGTGATAAACGAACAGCCCATATGTGTATGTGTGTGTGTGGATTAGTGTTTTTGTAGTTTATGTGTCGTGTTTCAAAGGTGGCAGAAAAGCGGAAACGTGTTGTATTAGGATTCAATCAAAAACTTAAAATTATTAAACTTTAAAGAAAGGTCAAATTGCTACAAATGTTGCTCAGATTAATGGTGTAGGAAAAACAACAGTGAATGACATAAAAAAGGATGTTGAAAAAATTGAGCAACATGTAACGCAAATGCAAAGTAACGATGAAGATGTCATAAGTCGTAAAACCATGAAACCGGCAAAATATGAATAACTTGACAATATTATGTATCAGTGGTTTAATTAAGTTCAAAGTCAAGGAATCCCACTTTCCGGTCCTATTATAAGCAAGATGGAGAATTTGAAATTTTGAATAATGAATAAATTATTTTGAATGTCACTGCCGTTAAAGAAGAAAAATTTTATATATCAAGAAGTTGATTACGATTTCGAAGATTCAAGAATTGAACTAAAACTGCCAACTAGCCATTTAGAAGCAAAAGCGATGTTATCAAAGTGTATTGATTGGCTTGAAGTACAAGAAGAATCAAACGCTACGCAAGTCTTATTTCTACGTCAAATACGAAATATTGCAGCTAAAAAAGCTATAGAATCTAAAAAACAAACAAAAATGAATGATTATTTTTTATAATATATGTGGTTTGTATATAATTTGATATATGTAAGCATAATCTCTTTTTTTTTTTTTTAAGTAGGTACACACTTAAAAAATATAATATACGTTTCTGTTTATGTTTATTTTGAAAAACTTCCATTAACCGTCTATTCGATTAACCGTCATAGTCCTGATCCCGACAGTGACGGTTAATCGAGCTTCTACAGCATTTTAATTATTTTATAATATATTAACATACGATCAACATATTATACCTCATATTCTATAAATACTTAAAATTATAATAACAAAATAAATAATTTTTGGTTTTATAAAGCTGCGTATGGTTATAATTTTAGGTAATTCCGTTTCAAGCAAATGATAATTGTAATTATTTATTTTAAAAATTAAACGAAAACAAAATGTATTTACTAACTTATTGATTAACAACATAATTATTACTTATCCAACATTATATTCGAAATAAAATAAAAAAACTATCAACTTACGTCACTTGATAAAAAATTTGATAATTCTTCAAATGAACAGATTTTAGGTAAATTACACCATTCTCTCATTTTAGTATAAGGCGGTAGGCCGACATCACGCCCTCTTTGAATGTCCACTGCGAGCAAATCTTGATCACCAAAAAATTGATGATGGAACATAAAATTTGATATCTATAAAAATATGTTAAAATATTTAAGATGTAAAGCAAAATTTTAATTTTATAAAAAAATGTAAATCTTTTTTCGGTGTCGTCAAAATATAAAATAAGTAAGTCGTGCATTCTAATTGTCTTTAAACATTACTATTCTCATATAAAACAAAGAAAATATAAAAACGGAATACTAATTGATGGTGTATGTTATTTTAGAACTACTTAAAAGGTATTTTATATTAAATAACATTGATGAAAATGTGGATTTATTGCAATCTACAATGATTGTGTAATAATGATAATTTGGTAATATATAATAAAATTATTACACGGTATTTTAAACAATGTATGGTACTGTATTTGTGTATCTATAAAACATTCAAACTAATATTTATTTACAGTACAGTGAAGCATATTTTGAAAGTATACTACTTAAATAATTATACAAATATATATTTTAAACAATTTTCAATAATAATATTGAATATTTACATTTTAAATATATCTGTTATATTTTTTATTGACTAAAGTCTGTGTTAAAGGTATACCTTTTATGAATTATTCATCATAAATAAATATCAATAAAAAAAAAAATATGTTCAATTGGTACAAAATTTAACGCTAATAATAAATGATTAAATTTTAGCATATAACTTAAATACTTGGTAAAAAATTTAGAAAAGTATTAGAAACAGTTTGATATAACATGAGATTGATGAGGTTATTTAAATAGGTGCACATGATAACTTTTATTCAAATACTTTTAAACACCGTGTCTGGTGATACAATACAATATATTAGGTATATATATAATTTAAAACATAGTTTTACCATTTTTAATAAGTATATGAAATATTTACGAAATAGTTAATACTTACTAAATAATTATACGATGGGGTATAATAACGACCTGGTGTTACCGTCATGCCTCTAACTATATCATCAAGATTTTTGCCCTCTACTAAGGGATCAGGTATCCACATCCATTCGTTAAGCTTGGATGAATTTATTGTCGTATAATTTTTATCTATGTAACTGTCGATAAAAAAAAAAAAATGTTATACAATTAATATACAACAATAATGTTTTATTATAAATAGAAAATGTTTACTTGTATACCGAAGCCACTGTATTATGTGGCACTCGGAAAGCACCACCAGCAAATTCTATAGACAATTGTGGCATGATTGAGGGATTGTATATTGTTCTTACATGATGATTAAGTTTTAAACCAGTGCGTTCTATAAATGATTCACCTGAAAATAGTATATATAAGAAACATTAATTTTAGTTATATATTTTGAACGATAATTTGGAAAAATAATAGCACAATATTCATTAATTATACACTTATACCATTTCTCGCAAATAAGTGTTCGATATTTTCAAATTAACTAATTTAAAAAGCTATAATAGATAAAAAAAATCTTTAAAAATTTATTTGGATGAATAAATAATTTTAAGTATACAAAATCTCAAATTAGGAACATTACAATATTAGTACAATACAGTATTAGATAATTAATTTATCTTAAAACGACATTTATTTTTTGTATCCTTGATGTATCATTGCTTTATATTTATAATATATTATAACACTTTATACTGGATTGGAGCTTAGTCAAGGTTAGTAAAGTGAATTAAAAACCCAACACTTAGTTTTGTAGTCAAATTAATTTGTTTACATAAAATTCACTCCAAATATCTTCGAATATAATAATACAAAAAGTATATTGAATGTTATTATATATCATTTAACTTATTTAAACAATAACTTAAGTGATTTTCAAAAAATAATAATACCAAGTAAAATAGGCAAGTAATCCCGGTAAACAATCAACTGGTTTAGTGCACCAAGGAACTTTCGAGTTTCTTGATATAACACTTCATCAGACCATTGAGGATTTATTTTTTGTAACTTATCAGCCACAACATTATGAAACCGGGTAAACACAACAGAATACGATGTAATCCCAAAGTGTTGATTTATTCTTGGGTCTCCTACAAAAAGAAAAATATTTACAATATTTATTTTTATAAACACACAAAAATACAATATTTAATTTATTTTTATTCAAGTATTTCATACTGCCTTATCTATTGATTTAAAGATAAACACAATTTATTAATTAAGAAATTAAAGGTTATTTTAATTTGACAATTAAACGATAAAAAAAAATTTTAAAAACAAAAAACATATTGTAAGCAAACTGATGTATACGTAAAGTTATAGTACAATTAATTCTATATTTCTATTTGATCGAAGTTGTAATATATACGTATATATATATTCTCAATAGCTATGATTCCATTTTTAAAAAGTCAAATAATTGATAATGGTGCACCGAAAGAACTTTAAACAAAAATACGGATAAATAAATTTTAAAGTATCGTGCATTTTAAAAGAAATATAAAGCAATAAATTAAATTTCCATTAGTTGTTAATTAAAATTATTTTATTAAACACATAGTATTTAATTTTATTTAAGTACACTAAAAATATTACGTCAAAGTAATAAGTACCTAATAACAACAGTTATCTTTAAATAATTTTAAATTTGGATAAAATAAAAATTATAGTTATTGTAACATAAATATTCGTATACGATTACCGCCTTCAAAACAAATGTCCACGTTGAATCGCCCATCGCATAATAAAAATAATCCGTTTCTCTTCATTAGAGGACAATACTCGTTTTCATTTATGACATCTGTTATTAATTTCCCATTTTTAAAAGTTCTAATCGAATCCGCCTTATCTTTTTTATGTCCATACAATTGTGATGAGTCAATAAACGATGTCGCCTGATTCATCTATAAAAAAATTATCAATTATACTTATAACGCTGAAAATTAATTGCAGGTAGGTATGCAACTATATTTTCAAACATTTTATTCAATTAGAATTTTTTTTAGAGAATAATTAAGTATGGATGAGTGTACACGACAAAACTAAAAATAAAATAGATGAATTTCAAACAATTAAACAGTAAAAATATAAATTTAAAAATATTATACTTCATAGTTCATGCAAAGATACTGTTGAAATAAGCTACGACTCGATGATACACATAATGATTTTATATAGAATGAAGCTGGATCCGATCGAATAATTCGTTTGCTCGTTTATATTTTAGAACTTACAGCCAATTCTCGATTCAGATAAATTATAAGTAGAAAAATAAATAAACTTCCAAAATTCGATTTTAATTTTAATAACTATTTTTAATTGATAGAAATGCCTCTTTTCTAGGTTTTCTCAGCAATGAAATTTTATTTTTTATTCCTTGAATATCTAATATAAAGATCGAGTATAAGCACATTTCAAGGTTTTCTGAACATTTTATATATTATAGTAATAAACAATATAAATTAGAATATATTTTTGACAAGATCTAAGAAAATGATATGTACTTAATAAATTATAATATCTTTTAAAAAATAATATTAAACAGGTGAATATAAGTGAATTTTTTATTCTCATATATCACTATTTTAAATATATAATATGTAAATATTATATAATAGTTTAATTAACTACAATATTTAATATAAATAATCAAACCCTCGCGTTTCAACGCATATTGTACTAAGATATATAAACAACATATTACATAGTTAATATTAATTTTACGTTGGTTATAATTAAAAACTAAAACTCACTGGAATTTGAGGATGTATTGGACAGTTAAAATCATTAGCAGCAGTCATTGCACGTCTAAATTCCATACATGTTTGTCCACGAGGACCATAAACTGGGTCATCCGTAGATAACTTAATAACTAATTGACATTGGTATAGAATATTTCTTATTGCATTGATAGGGATAGTACAACATGGTATTGGCCCTATTTACATTATCAACAATAACTTTAACTATAATTCATAATTTATATTTTAAAATACGTAGTTAAATAAATCTTGGCGGTACATTAACTTGAAAGTCAGAAATATTTTAAGTTAGTTTTGATCAATAATTTAATATTGTGCATATTCTCACTGTAATTAATGTAAGCATAATACATAATATACAACGTGTAGTTATAATAATATGTACACAATGATATTGTTTAATTTTTATAAATATAGCTTATGTCGGATAACATACATTAATAGCTAGCGAACGTTTATAATATCGTTATAATAATTTTATAATTATATATATTTAAAATACGTTTTGAAAAAAAAATGTATTTATAAAATATAAGTAAATACTTATTTTATTGATTCGTGTTTAAAATAATAGAAATTACTATGCTAAAAGTATATCCCCAAAAGTAAGTATCCCTACATCAAAAGTCAAAAAAAATTATTAATGCCTGATAAATTGTATACATATGTTTATGACTTTATGTTTATAATAGTTTCGAAAAATAACAGATTTTTTATTGCAATAGAACTATTTAATTAAATATTCCAATAAATTCGATTCATTTTATACTAGAAGTCAAAAGTAAAATAAAAAATTAGGTTGGGTTAATAAAAATAAAATATAAAATATCCTCAGAAGTTGAGGTGGACGATTTGTCTTCACTGAAAATCATTTTTTGTACCCAATGATTAATGATTTAATTCAAATTTAACACAATTATTACAATGACTTATTAAATTAGAATATTATATAATTAAAATCTTCTTTATAACTGAGAGATTTTCACAGTATTTTAGCCAATAAGTTTCAAATTTTAATTCTAAATTAAATAAATTATAATATATAAAATTTATTTTTACAGGAAAAATCCGGTAGCAGGAGAGTGATATCATGAGTGGTCCATTGGCCAAATTGACTTAGATGAAAATTGTTGAAATCTGGTATATCGCGGGATTTTTTCAAAAATAATAATACCTGAACTTTTCGTGGTCCGGGTAATAGTGATCCGTCAACCTGTTTTCGAACTTCATAATCACCTGATGAAGCAAATAAATAAAATATTCATATGTATTATATGTATAATATACATTTAAATTTTAGTTATATTTATAGAGTAGGTAGTTAAATTATTAAACTTATACGTAATCAAGCCCACGATATTGTAGGAATTGCATTTTTTTCTATAATATACTCTTGATGAACAGCAAACCAAACTAAAAATCCATTGTAATAATATAATATAATGATGAATTTAAAACGAACATTTAAAGTGCGTATTCTTGCATATTTGTGGTTTTAAAATATTAAGTTTTTAAAAACAGTAAAATAAATTAATAAATAAAAATCTTTACTAGTATATAAAATTGTAAGAGGTTTTCTAAAACCGCGCTAACCAAGAAAACTACTGAACCGATTTGACTGAAATTGTTCACTGTTATAGGTTTCAGTATTAATTTTTTTAATAAAAAATAAGTATAAAGTTCTTGAAAAATTAAAAAATAATACCAATTTTTGGGGTCTCTCTGTGAGGTCCACAAGAACAGGCCTTTTTTATGTTCCTATTTTGTGACAACACTATTTATCTTTTTTCCATTTTTTTTTTACACAAATTTGTTTCAAATATCCTCTTAAGTGTCATCACATCGCCCGATTTTTAATTTTTTGTCGGATGGGTGGGAGAGAGGAGGGTTATAAACATTTCATTACGTTTTCATTAACCATTTTTATATTGACTTTCCGATCACATTAAATGATAAAATTTGAATAAAAATTCTACATATCATCGTCCGAAGGCAAAATAAACAACCAATCACGAGCAAAGCTGTGACAGATCGGTTAGTATATAAATAAATTATCTTTATTTTTGTATAATCGTATGCATATTTAATATTTTCTAAAATAACAATTAAATTTTACCTTTACTATGAATATTTCACTTAATTATTGAACGTGAATGTTTAATGTAAAAGATAAAGACTTGCTAATTTTAAATGATTTAAATTTTTTTAAATAATATACATATAAACACAAATAAAAATACATGGTGGTGGTGTATTATAAATAAATGTAGTGCAAAAATAAATAAAGTAGGTCAAAAATATGTTTAACTGATAAAAATAAATAAATCATATTTTGACCATAAAACTTTAAAACGACAACAAATTAGTATTTTTTAAAAAAAAAAAAGCTTTAAACTTTATAGTTGAATAACCATTAAAAATAATAAGAAAATAAGTTTTTAAATAAACTAAGAAATCGGATATTTAATTTCACCCGATTTAAAACTAATAGCAAAAAATATTCACAATACAAGGATGTATTATTATCCTAAACTACTGATATCAAGACAAGAAGTTTTAGATTCATTGAGTTAAGTATAAAAACAAATAGAGGTGAGTTATTTGTTTATGACAATAATATTCCAAATAAAATAATCATTTTTTCAAGTAAAAAAACATAGAATTTTTAAAACAATTAGATTTTGTATAAATGGATGGTACTTTTTATTATTTTGATAAATATTACACGTGATTATACATGATTCATGGAATTTAAAATGGTATATATTATATTCCATTAATGTCTTGTTTATTACAAAATAAAAAAATCACACATCACATTATTGAAAAAAAAATCAAAATATCAGGAGTAATATCAGATTTTAAAATAGCGATACATTAGTTTAAAAAAAAAATTTCCAAAAGTAAAGGTATTTGGTAGTCTACTTCATTTAGGCTAAAGTTAGTTTCGTTAAATACAAAATATAGGTTATACGCCACAACTTAATTCAGCAAATAAATACATAAGAAAATAGTTAGAGCATATTTTTAGACTTCTTTTTCTAAATCCAGAGGAAAAGGAAGATCGTATTACAAACTTTTTTATGGCAAACAAACCTAAAAATTCAGTTATAACAAAATATTGTGATTATTTAATAGATAATTATTATGTATCAAATAATACTATTTTTTCACTGAAAATGTGGGAACGACAATCTTTTACAGAATACATACGACAAACGCACGAGAAAAATTTTATTGGGATTTTAGTTCAAATTTCTATCATCAGAATTCACACGTTTTTAAAATTATTAAAATCCTCAAATTATTTCAAATAAACTCATACATAAAAATAAGTATTGCCAACTGTTACACAAAAATAAAATATTTTTCATAATTATAATCTAATATTTTTAGGATTTTAAAATACTTCTAAATATTCAAACTCACCATCATTATAATAAGCTTCATAAAATCTGATGTATGGAGTTTCGGACGTCCCCCACAACGGGTTCATCAAGTTATTGCATGAGCCATCTGCTGTCCTGTAAATATCATTTTCTTTGCAGGTCACTTTTGGTGCACACTTGTCATAGTATATGTTATTTGAAAGAGGACCATTTTTGTTATAAACCACAATGCCATTAATTTCAGCCTAAATGTTAAATATCAATAAATTTAAAAAATCAAAAAAATTTATTAACAACATAGTATCATAATATCTGGGATACCTACCTACGTTATTGTTATATAAGGTTGCATTGTTGCAATTTGTTTCAATTATACACTTGTTTAACTTAAACCTATGTCAATTATACTACTTACAGTTATTAATATTTCAATAAATTTGTTTGAAAAAAAGGTAGTCAAGTAGTTACCACTCTGCTGTATAGAAGCTATCGAGTGAGTCACTATTATGTATGTGTTAAATCTGAATTCAATAGTATTTCATTATTAGAACTAGGGACATCATGTTCTAAAAAACCTTAAAATATGCATGCATTTATGCCCTTTAAAATCATAATATATGCTCTAAAAATAATTAATAATACTGAAATATGCTCTTAGAAATATTTTATTTTTCATTAAAAATCAAAAACTATAAATTTATTTATTATTAAATAAGGCGTTTTTAATTTAATTTTTTCAACGAAAAAACTGTATTTAGTCTAAAATATTATATTGACTATATTAACGCCAGACGAAAACACACACAATATTAACAGACGAATTGACATCAACTGACCGTATTTGGCAAATTCCTTATCGAATGACTATGTTTTTCATAACACACAAAGAATTGGGAAAACACTTGGCAGATAGATTATTTAATTATTTATATTTATTCATTTTTATCTATTTTTTTTCAATTTCAAGAAAATTAATATTAAATATTGTATAATACGTATAAAATAGTATTCTCTAATTCACCTATTGCTTTAATTTTTTTTTTTAAATAAAATATATGAAATATGTACTTGAAATACAAGTATAACAAAATATGCACTTAAAAGGAAAAAAGAGTTGAATATATAAAAAAAACAAGATAAAATTTATTGCTTTTAACTTCTAATACTAAGAATCAAATTTATATACAACTAATGTTTTTAAATTATAACAAAATAATGAATTTCGTCCAAATTTGAACTTAAAATGTCTATAAAAAATAATTGTCTGTAAATCTTTTAGATTTAGATTTTTTTTGTTTCTGCACAAACTACCTATGAAAAATCTTATACTTAATTTTCAAAACTTAGATGAATTCTAAAAGATTTCATGAATTTCCAACTACAAAATATTTCGTAAACTTTTGAGACAATAATTTTCAATCAAAATTTTTAGAAAAAAAAAATTAAAAACTGCTCATTCTTATAGATAGTTTAAAAATATTCAAAATGTTTTGATAAGTTTATAATAAATATAAATTAATAATTTAAGTATTGTGTGAAAATTTTAATTATCTACGGTTAAAATCGATTAAACCGTTCAAATAACATTAGTTTTAAGTAAAAATCCTCGTTTTTCTTAATATTTTGTGTTTAAGATAATTTTTAGAAGTACAAGAAATATTTTAGTTTTGACCCAATCCTCCCCCCCCCCCCAAGTGCCAACTAAATTAACTTTCCTACCAAAAGATATATTTAAGTTGAAAATTAAAGCATTTTTCCTAATATTAATCATATTAACTATTAACATACAAAATAAATAAATAGCACATCGTTAAAAATAAAACAGTATATTAATCGCTCAGCTAGAATCTAAAATATCGAAAACAGGAATATTTATGCAAAACTAATTTTAAATAAAAATAATTTTTGTTTTATTTTGTATTTCAAAAATTATAATAATAATATTATATTATATTACATAAATTAGTTTGATATAAATGATAAAATTCAAAAAAATTCAATTATAACAATTTAATAATCGTTAAAAAAAAAAGGTTACTCGTTAAGCTCCTCACCAAAACACATCATAAATCTATTTGTTCATTCCGTAATTACATAATTATATTACTTAACCATTAAGTAATTATTATTGTAATTTTAGATTTTTATATTTGTTTCATCTTTATTTTTTAAATTAAATTAAATTTAAATTACTTAAGTAATGTACCTCAAAATAAAACTTTTTTTGAATATAATATTAATCAATAATCTACTTTTTATGAGTTACTTAATTATTTATTAGTTAATTAATAATTACTTACATTAGAGCTTTTGGAAGTTCTCAAAACTAATATGGCACATAACCATACAATCAAACTAAACATCCTAGCGGAACTGAAACTAAACCCTGGCCATTGAGTAATTTACTGATTAAATATTTTTTATTTATGTTAAAATAAAACATAAACATACGTGTAATGCATTAAAACTATAATAAATGTTATTTACATTTAACACAATATCGTGATTTTAGTATAAAAAAGAAATGATATATTTGACAATTTTTATCACTCAAGCTTATATTTGAACAATTTTCGCGGTAAAAAAAAATACATAACTAAAACTGACAGTTTTTAACTTATTTAAATTAATATATAGAGTTAAACACGATTATTACTACCTTTGCTGCTACAAGATTGTCTAATTCTAATATAATATTAAATAATATTTTTATATGTCTATATTTGCACAATAAGTAGATCATGCTTATGTATGTTATAAACATGTCAATAAAATGACATTTAACTAACAATATTATAACACTTGTTTTATGAAACTTTAATAAAAAAAAAAAAACAGGTATCTCTTCAATAAGGCACTATAGAACAAATAAAAAATTTAAACAATCTCTGTATGAACTTAATTTTCTTTGCTTTACCAACAATCCGTGGGAAGGTAACGATTAACGAATATCAAATTCCAAATATTCGTTACAAGTGCTCTGTTATAGAAGTATCGGCGATTATTAGTGAAAGTACACAAATCGTGGGAATTCAGCTTTATGTGAGCAAAATCACCCAAATGACTGTATCTAAAATATTAGTAATTTACATTTTATGGAGCTTAAGAAAAGGTAAATCCACTGGCATTATTGAATTTATAATGGGTAGCGTCATAAAGAATTAACTAGAATAATTCAATGAGTTAATACTTATAATTCATAGAATAGTTTTACCGTAATAATAATCACTTTTTACAAATATTTTAATTTTAATTTTAATATATTGTATATTTATGAAAATTTAATCTATCTTATTACTCTAATTATTATTATTATTATTATAATCAATTTTTTTTTTTTAATACCTTACAGGTATACTATTTATATTTTTATACTGATAACGATCCAATATACAACCTATGTACACGCTGATTTACGGTCCCATACGTGACCCACTTCATAAATGTGGAGACATTGTAACCGACCACGGTTATAAAGTGTCGTATACCCACCTTTCGGTGCGATATAGTATTTCTATCGGATTAAAAGGAGTTCGACAAAATTGCGTGATTACTCAAACAAAATATACGATCATTGGTTGGAAACATAATTTATTAAAACAAAAACACTGTTAACAAAAATACTCCTATAGTCCTTCCGTATCTCGTCGAAAACCTCGACGACCACGGACTGACCAGGACTACCCGGACTGACCCGGAGTCCCATACACTGTTGTTTGGCGGCGTTATTTATAATACAATGTTTGTTGCCTCAGCACATCTGCTTCATAGACCTGACCTACTTTAATAAAAATATCTTACTTACTACAATTTAATCCTTCCTGTATTATTTAAAAAAAAAAAAACAAAAACATTGACGACTATTTATGTTATACGACAAATGACAATGGTATACTTCCTTTTACCTTGAAAAAGGAATTCGTCTATTTGGATAGTACAACCATGACCACCCATTTTTTCTCTTTTTGAAAAGCAATATATTGGTATATCTCTGCAAAGATTATACTAATATTAATGATGGTGTTTTTGATTTCACCAATCCAACTTTCACTTCGATTTACTGGAACTTAATTAATCTAGAACCAAACTTCTATTATTTCACATAATGATAGTTTACTATTACAACAGCCATTAAGATCCGTGTATATAAAAAAGTCATTATTTTTACAAATCGATTGGTAAGTATGACTGAGGATACTGAAGACAAGTATTAATGGAAAACAAAAATAAAATAGAATAAATTTCCCATAACGACAATGAGGAAAGAAAACTGTAGAAGTAGAATGGTAGATCAACACAATGTTATCGGTAGATCGAGTAACAGGCTCTATTAAATTGGCTCCCAATTTTGGGTAAATATAAATTCGACTCTTGAATTGACTCCTGAAAAATGTATATTTGAATTGGCTCCCTAAACTGTAAAATATTATTATTTAACCAGAGATTTTCATTACATACGCGTTTACTTTTATGACGTCAACCTAATATAGCCTAAGTTAGGTTAGCTCTCAAACATAGTATAGCGCAGGATATATCTATATTATTACAAATATAGATAGATATATATATATATACCTATACATATTTATCGAATTTAATCTTATCGCCTCAATCGTCGTAATCTACTTCAATAATCCATTATCAGTGACTCCTATACACTAATTTATTTGGTTGTTAATATTTGTTGACCACAATAGCAATGCGTATTATACTTTATTAGTAGATACGCTGTGTTCACGCGAAAGAAGATTCTCTTCTACTACGTCAAGCCATCTTTTCCTTGGTCTGCCTTGAGGTCTCTTTCCTTCTGGTTTTCATTTTATCACTGCCCTAATGGTTTCTTCTTCTCCTTTTCTCATTATATATCCAAACCACTGTAATCCCTGTCCTTTTATGTAGCTAGTGACTTGTGCTAAGCCCAATTATTCCTATAGTTCCTCATTGAACTTTCTTCTCCACTCATTTGGTATGTATAATAATTGAATATTTTTCAGTTAAAATTATATATATTTAATTATTATTAAAAAAAAATTTATTATTTTATTTTACAATTCAGTGTTATAATTATATCTTTGTTTCTGAGTGGATTAATGGATGAAATTGTTTTACAGCACAATACAACGCAATTGTTATGTATAATACTCAATTTAACGATGTAAAGTATACGAATGTGATACCGTAAACCATGTGTTAAGATTAAGTATCATACTGACGTCAACTACTCTAGGACATAACGTCTAACTTTAAAATATTAACAACATTTTGGTAACCAATATATTTTTAAAAAAAAAACACTAAGGAGCCAATTAAATTGCGCAGCGAGTAACATATGTAGGTCGCACATTGGACCGTTACTTTTATACTTAGATTAATATAGATAATAAATTATTTATTTATTTATTGATAATATATACGCCCTGTCGGACTCAACACAATACATATGAACAAATATAAACTTTTATTAATACAATTGATATAGATTGAACATAGTAATAAATTAATAAAATTTACAATAAGAGTGTATTTAGTGTACAATTTAAATTAGACTAGACTTTTTAACCTGGTTGAGTTATTAAAAAAATCAAAACTTTTTACCGTGTTTGCTGTTGTTAGCATTCTATTGATTGGAGCGTAAAGACTATAATTTTGGCGATGGGTAAAGAGGCAAAAATCTTATGATACACACGTGTTAACACAAGGGACATTTAAAGGTATGAGATTCAATAGTTCGAAGCAGTCGATTTGAGAGTTCAATAATTTATGGAGCCAAAGTACATCATTCAAATGTTTGCATTTAACTAGGACTCAATATCAAATTCTAGTGATAATTGTTCCAGAGATAAGTTTATTTTATTTTTTTTGTATGCAAGTACCCATAGTAACTTATTCTGAATACTCTCTATCTTCCTTATCAAATTGGCTTGGTGAGGGTTCTAGATAACTGATCCATATTCCAATATCCAACGAACCAGAGAAAAATATAAGATTTTTATGCGGTACGGATTTTTAAATTCTGAGCAGTTTCGACGTATAAACCGTATACCTGAAGTGCCTTATTACACATCAAATTTATATGATTATTAAAAGACTGTTCATTTGATAGTAATATACCGTGATCATTTATTTACGTTACTACTGTTAAGTTAGAGCTATCAAATATACAATTAAATTTTAGGTTTAATTTTCGATAAAAAAAATGTATCTGTGAGCATTTTTCAACGTTTACATTAAGTCCGTTAGTTGTGCACCACGAATAAAATCGATTCAAATCAGATTGTAGTTTAATACAATCATCAATTAAATAGATTGGTAAATAAAGTTTTAAGTCGTTTACAAAAATTAAAAGTTAACATGTTTTAAAGATTTTTGTAACGTCAATTATAAATAATAAAAAAATGTAAAGGCATCAATTAGAATCGTAAACAGGATTACAAATTTATTTGATTATGAATAAACCGATTCAAAACATAATTTAAACATATTTACAGTTTCATCCAAGCACGTTGTCTTAGAGCAGTGGTCAACAATAGGTGGCCCACGGGCCAAATCCGGCCCGTAGAAGAAGAAAAATTGGACCGCAAAAAATTTTTTTTTTAATAATGCTAGTTTTCCGCACTTAATATATATTTTATCTATTTTATAATGTATTTGGAGATTATGACAGTGTTCATTGTTCATTGCTATTTACAATAATAGTTACGATAACACAACAATTATTAACTAATATCTGAGTTTTTACTAGACCTAGAAATTTTTTTTTGAATTTTCTGGACCGCTATAGAATTTAATTGCCGACCCCTGCCTTAGAGTCACCGTATGTAATGTTGTGTAGAATGGTGTTTTTTGCCTGTTTTTAACAAATTTCCAGAAATGTTTTAGATTAATTGACAAGGAGAATTGTATTTTTTCTAAATGTTTTTCATAATAAAGTTTAGTTAACAATTAACATTTTTTCCTTGATAAAAAAAATTCATTGTAATGTATGTTGAGACCAGATGATTTAAATAATTTATGAATTTGTTTTTTTTTTTTGTTTTTATTAGGGAGTATAATTCTTTAGAGAACCATCTGGGAAACTTATGATTACATAAAAAAATTTTAGAACCGTTTTTTAATTTTATCTAGTACTATTTTATAGAAGTTATTTAAAGCAATATTTATATTATTTTCTTTATAAACATTAGACCAATCGTAATTAATAAAAATGATATTCATGTCATAATAGTAAGCTTTTCTGTAGTCCAATTACAAAGTGTTCGAACAAGTATGATTTACACAATCAAGTATCGTGTACTTTGTTGTCAGAACCGGGTGATATATATTTAGCGGTACAATACTATTACCGAACGGTAGAATATTAATAAGTGGATTATTTAAAAAAATTAAGTGGAGTTGAGTCCCACTGTTGTTTAAAATATTATTCAATTGATATAAGTTTAGAAATGAAAAACTGTCATTAATTATTTGTGAAAATATGAAATTACGGCCATTACATACCAAACCTATATAGTTCTCGTAAAACTAACGTGAAGTAGATTATAATTACCATAAATAATTGTGAAGTTCATTTATAGAGAGAATTTATTTAATAACCACTCTACGGTTTCAGTATTAGCAGAATAACAGCTGACTGGACTCATAGGTGGAATATAGCAAGTGATTACCCCACTTTAGTAGTACGAATATTGGTTCTACATTATCAGTTGGTAAATTAATAACGGCTGTATCAAAATGTTTATCTACCAAAATAGCTACTCCACCACCTCTCTTACAATTTGCTTGTCTTATCACTTCAGTCAGTACGAATACATTATAAGAATCAAAGTCGAGTTCGACATCTAATATATCTACACTCAACCAGGTTTCTGTAAATATAAAATAATCAAAATCAAATAACGAAATATTACACCTTAAAATATTTATTTTAGTGCATAACTCTCTTACGTTTTTATAGTAACCACATAATGTTTTTCCTTAAAAAACAGTGTACAATAACAGCAACAGCTTAAAGAAAAAAATAGTAAAAATAATAAATAACATTAAAAACCAGATATCAACAGAATGTGAAGTAAGGGTCCGTATTGGTGTATGACATTAATCACCTAATTGGCTCGTAATTAGTATGTAGGACATAAACTAGTACTGTTTTTTTTAAATAATTATAGTTTATTAAGTTAACATATTTTATTAACTTTCCATGCTTTGAGGTCCAGATTAAATGATTCACAGTTGTACATTCCCGAAAGCCTTAAAATAAAATTATAAAAAATTATCCGAAGGTACTAAATAATTTAAAATTGGTCATTTGTATTTATATATTATTAATTTGTAAGTAACAACATTTATAAATTAATTTAATATATATTTCATTAATTTATAGCATAAAAAAATTTTAAAAATATAATCAATTGGTAAATGTTTCATACCCTTTTGGTATGAAAATATTAGATGGTAATTTATCAATCTTTGTCGTTGCACACAATAATTTAGTAAGATCAAGACTCCATAAAACATCAAATTGTTCTAATATGACAAACAAATACAAACACTATCATTATAGGTAGATTCGTAAGTAGTATAAAATTCGTATAACTAATTTTCACATTACGAGTATATACCTGGAGAAAAACTTCCTGGTTGATTTTGTACATCGCAAAAGTAACGATCGCCATATCGAGTACGATAAAATCCATCAGCGATTATGCACCTTGCTGTTTCACCAACCATTCCACCATCAACAAGTGGTTCAAGCAAAGATCCTACTACCAAATCTATATCTTCGACACTTTCATAAGAATCTTGCAATAGCTGAATATCCTGAATATGATCAATCAGTAGTAAACATAAAAAATGCATTAAAATAAATTTATTACACAACATGTTTTAATAACTGAAAATATATTTTTAATTAAAAGTATTTTATAAGGCTGGTTATCAGGGATACATTTGGTTCAGAATGTGAACTGCCATGGGTGACAAATTTTTAGGCGTAAAAAGTTAATAAGGTGATTGAAATTTATTAATCAAAATATTTTTGTATTCATTATAAATTATCAAAACTTTTTAAATTGAAAACATTTTACGATAATAATATGCTATATTAAATGTCACTATTTAATACAGGTATTTATGACGGTATCATACATTTATATTATACCTATCAAAATACTGCAGGAATAATTATTTACAATTTAATTTCATGGTTTAACGATCAATAAATATGATAATTATTTATAAAAAAACATTTTACCATAAAAATTAAATAAAAGGCATCCAGTCTTTACTTTCATCCAGTGACCATGAAATATACAAATGGAGGGGCGTGGACCGTTTGGGCGAATCGACCCAAAATATAGTCCGTTTAGGCGAATAACTATATACCGTTTGGGCGAGGGTTTAGTCAACTAAAACTACCGTTTGGGCGAGAATTATTCAATTAAAAATACTGTTTGAGCGGTATAAAAATGCTTATAATATACACTCAATAATTAATTAAACAAAATTATATAAAATATGAATAATTAATAATAATAAGTCAAAAATCATATAAAGTATAAGGGGTCTACTGCTATATTTGATTCCGTGTACTTGAACTGTTCGATAACTATACATCTTTTACCTCTTTTCGTAGTTAAAATATGTTCGATTTTTAAATCCATTTTAGATAAATGTAAAAAAATAAAAAAACTTACAACTGACTATTATTGTTAAAATTAATTTTTAAATATTTGTACATGAAAGTACTATTCAAGACACTACACATAGCACACTACAGTGTTATTATGTACAACTTGGACAGCGTGTCTGAATCGTAATCTTATTTTCGATAATAGTGATTAATAGCGATTAGCAATATTGCAATAATATCATCAGTACCTATCTGTCACCCGGTTTTTACTTTGCACGCAGGTAAAAATAATTTCACTCGCCCAAATGGTACAAATGATAGTCGCCTAAACGGACTATTATTTTTTTGGTAAAAATTATTACCTTCGCCCAAACGACCACCGCCCAAATGGAGAGGGGTGGTTCTAGGGTACATAATGTTAAAATATGCCACTTCTGATAAATGGGAGCTTTGTTTTCTAATAATACTAACGAATGTGAAAACAATTAACTATACGTTGCAAAATCAATTTTTTTCTCATTTTTTAGATAAAAATTTAAAAATGATGAAATTTTTAAATTTTAATAAAACGTTAGTATAATAGTATATAATATAGGCTAATTATTTTTAAGCTGTGGTCAACATCGAGGGTCAACGGCGCTAGTTAAAAAAAATTACAAGAAATGTCATGTTATTCTTGTAAAACAAACTATATAAAAAACAAAATTATTCGAAAGAATATTGAAAAAAGATTCCACGTACTTAAAAAGTTTAAGAACCACTAGCTCCAGGTATAGATTTTAAAACGTCAAGTACACAATACGCATACGATAAACGTATTATAGATATAATAATAAACAAATACATCTTTATGTTTTTATTTTTTTGAATAAAAATTATTTAATTGTTTAAAAAAATCTTACAGTATTATTTAATACGCCAACTAAATCACTAAATGATGAAATATGTGGAAAACCGCAAATTTCTCTGACTACGATGTATGGTGGTAAACCAATATCTCGGCCTCTTTGAATGTCTATACTACCTAAGTCTTGGTCAGCAACAGCATTTATCCAATTATGAAACATACGATTTGTGATCTGACATATAATTAAATAATTTATGTTAATTATGCAAATAAAAATATTTCAGAATTTTATTACAAAATGAAATTACCAATAAGTTATACGATGCTATTGGACAACGACCAGGCAATTGTGACATACCTCTTAACAACTCTTCAAGCTTAGATTTACCAACTAATGGATCAGGAATTCCCATGTATTCATTAAGTTTGAATTGCTCTACGATATTATTGTTATCATCTAAAAAACTTAATTGGTTGTATAATTAATATAGAAAGATATCAATTAAATAAATACATTAACAAATTACAAATATATCATAGGTACAACATTGTGTGTAACTCGAAAAGAACCTCCTGAAAATTCAACAGCCAATTGAGGCATAATTGATGGATCATACATAGTCTTTATATCTTTAGAAAGAGACAATCCAACACTCTCGCAATACTCTTTACCTATAAACATAACTTATATTATTTAATGTTTTCATATTAAATTTTAATTAATACACATTTCATATTTTTTAATTTATGAGTAATGTACATCTTATAATTTTTACTAATTTAATTTAAATGTATAGGTATACAAAATAATATTTACAGAAAATAATTTACATCTAAAATAGGTGACTGTTATGTACCTACCAAGTAAGATTGGCAAGTAATCACGATAAACTATAATCTCTTCAAGTGCTATTATGAACCTTCGAGATTCTTGGTACAAAATTTCATCTGACCAATCTGGATTTAATTTATGTAACAAATCTGCTACTAAATTATGAAACCTAAGAAACGTCTCTTCGTATAATATAAGACCAAAGTGTTGATTATTTCTAGGATCGCCTAAAAACAAAATTTTAAAATATCATAATGATTTCTATTTTTGTGATATTTTTAATTTGTACAGTACCTCGATCGAAACAATAAGTCACATTATTTCGACCACTACAAAATTTTGATCCATTTCTTGCTACTTGAACGCCAAATTCTTGTCCATCAATCTCCTGAGTTTTTAATTTTCCAAATTTATTAGATCGAAGAGATGCTGCTTTGGCTGCGGTCGGTCCATACAATTGAGATGCGTCTACAAATGCGGTTTGTTGATTTACCTGAGAAATTGTATGACTTGATAGCTTTTTAGAAATATTAGCGTTTATAATTTTTACATGATATAGAAGATTTTAATTTAATGAGTAAATAATAATAATATGTATTACACTGATATTCAAGTCTGAGTAAGTTAATAAATCTGTTTAAATCACTAAGTTTATATAGGAAAAATGTAATTAAGTAAAGTTAAAAGCCTAAACTCTATATTTTTATAAATTCGTTAAGTCAGAAATTAACGAAATTTAAATTAATAAAATTAAAATTCAACTTTCAAATAAATAATAATGTAAATAATCTGTTTAAAAGTCTCCCCATAAAATAAGTGAACGTTTACACGAGTGAATAATTTAAAATGTCTATAAATAACTCAAAAATTTTTCAACATTTCTGGAAAATGATGACATACCTATATATAATATTATTAAATGTTATTATAAACATTTGGTTTAAATTTCAAGAGTCTACAGTAATTATTTTTTAAATTATAACAAAATAAAGTCGATTTTGTAAAAAAATAAGTTTGTGTAAAAATTCCTATTTTCTCAAATTTTTTTTTTTTTATTTTGTTTTGTTTTGCCCATTACTTGGAAAATTACTCGGAATATCTAATTTTTACTACTTAAAATACCAATTAGATTTATTGTCCTGCCAAAAACAAATACTAAAGTTTAAAGATAAAACATTTTTACAGCTCGAAAATTAATGATAGACACAAAAACGATTTAAAAAAAACATATAGTTGTAAAATCAATACATTGATCGCATAACACAGAATCTAAAAAAAATAAAGTTTTACAGATTATAAAGGCAGTTTTTTTCTATTAATCTTTAATAAATATTATGTAAATGAAACATTTTTCATGATTTTAAAAATTTACCTATATTTTCTTATTAATTATTTATTGCTATATTATATTTTACTTTAATGTATAAAGAAATATAAAGGTAATTACTAATTAGATGTGATAATATGAGAATACAAATGAATAAAAAGGTTATATTATAATTACAAATTTTTATTAATTTTCATTGAATTCAATCGCATCTTTTTCCGTATCGTCATATTTTTGTCGTTATATTCGATAAGTTTATAATTTGTCCTGCAATACTTAATTCAGATAAGGTTCTCGCCAACAACTTGCATACGTTAATTTTCTTAAGTATAAACAAATGAAACTTTAATTTTTATTTAATAACAATAAATAGTACTCATACATTTGTATATAATATACTCGTACTATCACATATAATTAGTAATTACATATATTTATTTAAATATTTAAGTTTTAAAACAATTTAGTACGAAGGTCATGAAATTAAAAATTTACCCCTGCGTATTTTACGTATTAATAAATAATATATAGTTTTTGTTTTTGTTTTTATAGAATAGCAGTAAATAATTAATAAGAAAATATAGTTTAATTTTTATTATTAGCCTGACTTAAAATAGGCATTTAACTAAATGTTTAGACGGATAGTAAAATGACATAAAAATTAAATTTTTAATTATTTTCCTAAGTATTGAGTAAAATGCCAAATTTGACTATATATTATGCTTAAGATGGCTACAATATATAAATACAACCTAGTGTTAAAAAAAAAAACATCAGTCTTTGATAAATTCAAATTTTGAAATTATCAATCTATTTCAATGTTTGAAAATGTTTAATCTTTTAGAACCCATTTTTACATACTATAACCTAACTTTGAGAGCAACTAGTACTAGGCTCTTATCGTTTACAATAAAAGGTAAGCTTCGTTAGAACTTAAGAAGTAATATTTTACGATATGAACAATAATATAAATCAGAACTCACGGGTATTTGAGGAGTTATTGGACAGTTAAAATCAAAAGCAGCAGTCATCGCTCGCTTAAATGGAAGACATGTCTTGTTGATTTTAGAATACGACGTGTCTTGTTTGTCTATCTGAATCACCGCTTGGCAAAAAAGCGGAATATTGTCCTGATTCTGAACTGTACAACAATCCGCAGGGAGTGCTAAAAAAAAGTATTATTATTATTTTTATAAATATATTATTTTTAAATTAAATAAAATCTAAACTTAACTTACTTGAACGAAATACCTACCAAAAAGTCTCCTCGTTCTATTCAATTAAGTAACTTATAATTTTATTAATATTAAGAATGTAATCTAGATCAGTGTTTCTCAACCTGGGGGTCGCGACCCCCTTAGAGGTCGCCAACTTATATATATATATATATAAGTATACTTATACTTATATATACTTATACTTTAGGGTCGCTAACGTATGATTTAAAATTTAAATACAAACATTTTAAAGTTCAAACAATAAAATAAATTAATGAAAAAATAAAATCAATAAATATAAAACACTTTATCGTGTACACTACCTATTATCATAGTAATTAATAATAATCTATGCGAGTATGCAAAAAAATATAATATATATAGGGGGTCGTTAAAAAATTGAAATTCAAAAAGGGGGTCGCCAGAGTAAAAAGATTGAGAAACCCTGCGATATAACATCATAAACATGGATCGCAGAAACGTGCGTGTGTATCGGACGAACACCGCCGTGGGAGTGCATTTTTCAATATAAAAAAAATTTCTGATAAATCTAATATTCTTTAAAAAACAGTAGTAATAATAATAATCATAATCATGAAATAAATATTTTTTTAAGATAATGGTATGAGCTTTTATATTTTAAATATTACTATGATATATTATTACCTAATTACTTAACATCATAAAATGAATTGTTTATTTACATTAGGATAAAATGAATGAAATAAAGAAATGCGCAGTGCGCAGTTCTTGTTTACCGATACCGAATAATACATTTGATTATATTTTATTTTCTATTTTTCCCTGAACCTATTCAAATTAATTTGAATTAATTGTAATATACCAATTAATTATACCATATTAATATTTATATGTTGAAATAACAGTGCACCTTTATTTAGCTTAAATTTGAAAATATTTTAGATTCAGAACGGAGTGATGAATGTATTGATTTTACAATGATATGTGTTTTTTTTTTTTTGTGTGTGTCTGTGTACAGCATATGTAGTTGAAAAAATGCTTCAATTTCAAACTTCGGAGGTGGTTTCCGATGGCAAAGTGAATATCCTTGGTGCATTATAGAGGTAAAAAGTAAACATTTTTCAACAGTTTTCAAAAAAATCGAGAAAAACAAAAAAAAAATGACGAAAAAACGGGAATTTTTACGCAAAACTAGTTTTCAATCAAATCGATATTTTTTTATATGGTTGTAATTCAAAAACTAATCACTGTAAATACTTGAAATTTTCACAATATATTTATATTAATGTCATCTATATACAGTTTAATTTTCAAAAAATTTTGACTTTTTTTGAGTTATTTATAGACAACTGAAGTTTTCAAATTTTTTTTAAAATTTTTTTTTGAAGTTTCGTTAAAATTTTTTTGTCCCAATAAAAATATTTGAAAATTTAATACAAAGTTTCTCATAATTTATTCTTATAGTGATCAAAAAATTTTAAGAATATATAGGCACAATTTTTTTTTATTAGCATTTGAAGTTCAAATATTGACAAAAATTCGTCAAAACCATGAATATTTGCAAACTATTTTGTAAGTATAATTCATAAAAATGTTTGTATAAGTAGCTAAGAGTTGAACATTTAATACAAGATTTTCTATAAATTTAGCTTACAATAATTATAAAAGAATTAAATTTTGGTGTATTAAGTGATTAAAACATAAACCACAGAAGTTTAAAAATTTTAAATTTTCACATTGATTGTACCACAGATTATAATATATTTATATGTATATAATAATCCTACAGTAAAATAATAAAATGTATATACCTATATATTGTATTTTACGAGATGATTATTGTGGTTACGAAATATTTTCATAGATATTCTCTAATATCTATGAATGTTTTACTACAGGCGGAGTTTGGGGGGATATTTTCCTTTTAGCATTACTAGCGCTGTTACCCTAGACTGATAAATCATCTCCGTTCAGAATCGTTTTTTTATTTTTCTTCCACCCTTAAAATGTTATTTATATTCACCCATGAGTTTATGTAGAATATTATTTATTACATACTTTTTTAAATCAAAACAATCGTTTTTCATTATTTACGCATTTTTTATTTTTTTTTTTTTTTTTTTTTGGCATAGGAATAACCCTCGTATTGAAACAGTATTTAATTTTTATAGTATTTTACCCGAAAAATTGGCTGACATTAAAGTAATGTCATGTGTAACGTACTGGCCGATTTGATTTATATGATAATTTCTATGGTCTGGAATATCAAATTCAGGGGTTCTTGGCTTGAACAATGCTAACTGCAATCGACGAGCTCCAGGCAGTTCCTTACCATCTCTAAATTGTAATCGAATCGAATAGTTACCTGTTAACGTAATTTTAATGTATTAATGTTGTCAACAGTAAATAAAAGTGTATATTATTAATTGTTGATTTATCAATAGAATAACTTGGTGCTTTTACTGACTTAATCAATAAAAAAAATGTGAGACAGTCGGTTTATAACACGCATATAATTAAATTGTTTACTCAATAAAAACTAATGAGCACCTAACGAGCATATATGTATAACTGTATATAAGTAATAAAATACTACGGTAATAAATTATAATACAATATGTTAAACATTTATTGAAATTTCGAATAACTCTTCCCAACAATAATAAAACCAAATCAATAAACTAAGTATATTAGTATACTTAATCTATGATATTATGCACTGTTTATTAATTATTATACCTAACAAATGGCATATCATAAAGAACTGTAGAATTCATCAACAACATAACCAAATTGAATGTACTTGTATTTAATACCTTTTTTGATATCATCAGGTTATTTATCAATTAAGCACAAATAAAAAAAAGTTAATATGTTAATTTTTAAATGATAAAAATATTAAACACTTACCATCCGCGTAATAAGCAGGACCCAGTCTAATATAGGGAGTAATAGCTGCACCCCATAATGGGTGTTGTAAGTTATTACACGAACCATCAATGGATCTATATTTAGAATTACAATCACAAGTCACCAAAGGTGCGCAGGTGTTATAGAACTTGTCACATAATACCATGTTTTTAATTAAATTTACTTCGCAGTAAGTTTCAGTCTAAAAATTAAAAAGTTTATTATGTGGATAGTGTAACAATTTATATTGAAAAACATTTTTGGATCATTAGTATTATAATTATGAAAATACAGAAGACAGCTTATTAATATATATCAATTAAATAAAAATATACTTATTACTCATCAATAGAACTCGGCTATCAAATACTTTGTGTATTTTTTAGTGCAATGAAATTATTCCAAAATATCCATTCAATTCATAAAGTCAAGTTTTTAAATTTGCATAGATACTTATTTTATTTATAGGTAACTGTGCATTTTACATTTTTAGATTACATAATACAATGAGTATTTCTTGATCTAGTTACATATTTACAGTATAATTTAAAATATATATATTTTCTATTTATAAAATCATAAAAATATATTGTCGGATCGTAAATAGATGGAGGTATTTTAAATTTTAAAATATTATGATCATTCAATGTAATACTTATTTATCATATTTACCCATGTAAAATTATAGTTACATAACATTAATTTTATATTTATACCGACCGTTTACAAAACTTTTTTGATTTATTTTATTTTGAAAAGTTAAAGGTTATTTGAAAATTTTATAATTTTTTTAATTCTAAACAATTATAATGTGACTGACATAAAAATAAAAATAAAAACTCGCACATTATCAATGCATTTGTTGCTTCACTCAAAATCTAATTCTTATATTTTATAGTCACTTAAACACTATAATATAGTGTATATAAATTAATTTTCTAAACGCTATAATAATTGGTTTTAAATATATTAAATAAATGTATGACTTACCTGAATCTTTAATAATACAACCAAAAATACTAAAATAATCGATTTATTTTTAGATAGCATCTTTCTCCAAATTTACTGTGAAAAATAACAAAAGGAAATTTTAAATTATTGTATTCAATTTGCAAACTTGAAAAATTTTTCTATTTATTATTTTATATCTAAATAGTGTATATTTACTTAAAGTTATGTTTCTAAGTTCTACTCTATCAGATGATATATAACTGGTAAGCAGTTAAAACTTAAAATAAATTATGTATTTAATTGGTAATTTTCTTAAATTTAAATACAAACCATTCGAAAACTGCTAAAATATTGTTATAGGTAAATAAATATATCATAAATATTATCAAATAGTTTTAATTTTTTTTTTTATAAGATAAAAAAATAATTTTCGCATAACATAATTTAAAATTATATGAATTTTTTTTATAATTGTTATTATTATTATTAAAATATATATATATTATATATATTTATTAGTTACTAATATAAACTATAATGGCTCACCGTTAAATATTATTATATAAACTAAAGATAATTAAGATTAAAATATAAGATTATGAATGTAATGTAATTAGCTTTCATAATAAAATTAAACAATAACAATATTATTAAGAAAATGTACATATAATAACTATAAATAACCTTTACTTAATTATAAGTAGTTTATAAGATGCTAGATGTAGAGATGCTTAATAATAGCTGTTAATAATTCAAAAATAAAAGAAGTAAAAAATGTTTGATGTTTGAAGAAAAATGGGAATGGTTTTGGTTAAAGGAAGTAGCCTGGACATAAAATGGTTTATCAGGATTGAAATTTAAAGTGGATTAAAAAAAGTTATCTTTGGTTTTGGAAGCAAGAATGACACATTCTCGTCGAGTTTGACTATTGAAAAATTTAAGTTTTTTATAAATTGAATAGCCTTTATAATTGACTGAGTGACTACCATAGCATAATGTACATCTGACAAGAGAGTCTGATAAATATTGCATACGTCAGATCTGTATTCTACCCACATCTGGTACATCATGGATCGTTATTGCAGTAACTTTGAGTTTTGACAGGTAGCGATGGCATTGAGGTGAGCTTTTGAGTAAAATATGTTTTCGGTAACTATTATAATGTGTAGAAGAAGTTAAATTTTGTATGGGTAAGTCCCAGTTGTTGATGGCTTTTTTTAGGTCAACAAAAAAAGAGAAGAAAATGTGATTTATCGTAAAATCGCTTAATACTATTAACGTGGGTTACCTGATATTATAACTTCGAAAGAGCGGTAATAATATCTATACTTGAATTAGAAGGGTGAAGACTACGAATCACCATTCGTAATGAACGTTTAACATATTGCTGATAAGAATGAAAACTGTAACTGTCAACTGATCAGGTGTGAAGGTGTGGTTTTATAAATAAATTCTATAGAGTTAATAACTTAATAACTGACATCAAGTATGAAGTAAAACTGGAAAAATTACTCACGCCTTTGATTTAACTTAGACATGGTTTTGAAAAAAATTGTATAAGTATGAGTTTAGGTCTTGGTTGGAAGTATGCTTTCATCTAAGTCATCTTGTATAACGAAAACTGAAAACCGATTTGGACTAACGAATATTTTTTTTTATTTTTTTTTTGTTTTTTGTCCTTTACGTTGAGTGATAGTGAAGACGACAATAGATTTCTTATGCGTAAAGTTGAATTTTTATTTTTAAATCACGGGTGGATCCATAAATTTTCCATGGGAGGACGACATAAACAGCAAAAAATTCACCAGTTAAAAAAATCAAAAAGCTTGGCCCAATAACCTCTTTTATTTACGGGGCGCCCCCTTTACCTCCCTCTGAATCCACCCTTGCCTAACAACAGATATAATTTTGCACGAAAAACTAATCACGGAACGAGCGTAATGACCTTTATTATGCAGTTGCGATAACACTGATTTGAATATTAATAACATAGATTGTCTTAAACAAATACCGGTAAACATGAATTGCGTCCTGTATTATGTAAATGAACCTTAAATATTTATATTTATTGGCTAAATTATTAAAACATGTACATAATCTTTAATTAAATTATGATATTTAAATCATGATATTATGTTTTTAATTGATCTATATTTATTATGAAGATATCACTTTAAGAACCACTTTTAATAATTAACTGTAGAATGAAAAGACAACACGAAGTACGTCCGGAACGCGTGTACGCCCTTTGCTCCACAAATAGAATTCTAGACCAATGATAAGTTAGTAAATTGATAAAAATACCAAATAAAACAACTTCATAATTAACTAAATAAATGATATACATACAACGTAGATACTTACTATTAAAGTATTTATAGATTTAATGTTTATCAATATAAAATATATTAACAATAAATTTTTACCTAATAAAATTTAACACATTTATATTTTTACAATTAAAGTATATCTTTTCATAAGTATTTATTTAGCTCTAATACACAAGCAGTTGTAAAAACAAATAAAACTTACGAACAAAAATCACTATATAATTATTTAAAAAATCTCGCTCAAAATAAATAATTAAGTATCCAAGTATACTTTTTAATTATTAAATTTAAGTACATTCATTATCTAATACTAACTATTTAATACTATATAAATAAAATATTATTTAACTGTAATAAATTTAAATTATTTGATTGTAAATCAAAAAAAAAAAAACACTTGTGCTTAAAACTATTTGCTTAAATAGTTATTTACATAGAAACATATTGTATTGCTTGCATAAACATGAAGTTAAATAAATTTGATTAAAGGTTACTGCCCCTGGCACCACTAAAAAACATAAAATATTGTTTTAAAAATGGTTTCACAAATTAATAAACAATTCGCAATAATTCGTAACCACAAATTTGGAATTAGTAACTTAAGTATAACCGCACGAAATCAATTTTAACATAACAATATTACGTATTTATAAATACATAGTACAAATAATTTTACTAATGAAAATATTTACTTTAAATGGTCACATTTAATAAACAGTTATTGTTTTATTCGTAGGAATGCACAAATCAAAATTGATTTTGGGTGGATATACTTAAGTTACAAATTCCAAATTTGTGGTTTCGAATTATTACGAATTAATTACTAAATTGTGAAACCATTTTTACACTAAAATTTATCCTTTATAGTGCCAGGGTCAGTGACCTTTTAATTAAATGCATAATATTATACAACAAAATAACAATTACAATATTTAAGCATTATACCTACACCTAAATATTACAAGGATTAAATAAAATTATCAACCCATTAAATTAATTTACGGGATAAATTTAATAATTATTATAAAATACTTAAGCACATACCTTGTAATTATAATATCATGTTTAATAAGCTGAATAAATATAAAATATTAAACATAAATTTTTGTGACATTGAAAAAAAAAGCTTTTTTAAACAGATGCCTATAGTTTAAAAAATTTAGACTATACTCGAACCCACTGTTAATTCAAATCAATTTATTCTGTAAGCTTTTAAAAACGATTTAATTTGAATTTCGCTCCTTTTAAACGATTATAAACCAAGTTCTTTAAACACATAGACATTAAAAATGAAAACCATATAACCACCAATCGGAACATCGTTACATACCTATTTATGAGTTTTCTTTCAGCACATTTAACACCGCATAATGTGAAATTAAATCACACATCATACATTTAAATGCAAGGACCAAGGCATTCTTTCAAATTATCGAAAATTCGATTTATGTAGAGGTTCAAGTTATAGAAATTCCACTGTATATTTTTTATAATTTATTCATTCATAAAAACAATGTCATAGACATAATATTGTAACATGATGTTTAATTTATTATACTTAAAAATTAACTTTTCGAGCCTTCGTTTAAGCAGACTTGTCAATCTCTTCTTCCGAATTTAATTACCATCCATGCCCGCCTAGTTTCAATGAAAATAATTGACAAATCATTCAGTTGTTCGTCTGCTATCATACTCTGTAAATAATTTTTTATTATTTTTTTATTGTAGAGAGCTGCAGCATCTATAACGGACAACATCAAATATTAAATATAAATAAAGCACACATCAAGATATGTTGTTATGAGAGTAGAATGTTAAATTGATAACATTTATGCAATTTATATTGTTATTTTTGACTTGATAAATATTATACCCTTATAACATGATCTAAAAGATAATATCTGACGAACGAAATCTGGACAAGTGTCGTGGTCATACTTTTTTGTAGTATTTTTGCTTCCTTATATAGTTCCTCATCGTTTGATGCAATAATTGAAATCGGTTATAAGCATTTAAAAAAGTGAGACACGTAGTTAAGACTTTGAAATCTACGTGCCATTTCGAGGGTTTGTGGTGAGTTCGCGTGAATGTTCTCGAAAAATCGTTCCATACAGAACGTACTGCGTTGCCACCACCGCTGCTTCTAGAATGTTCTCGAACCCTTGTCTGTGCGCTAACCGTTACAACCCCGAAAATATTCTACAAGCCTATTTAAGAGCCACATCACCTACCAAAAGTTCAGTTTCTTTGAACTATAGTCCACTTCAAAACTTCGGTCTCTTCTTTGTTATTTTACAACTGTCATAACAGTTTTGTTATATTTTGTTTTTTTATTTATTTTTATACTTGATTTAATATTTATTTTAGTTAATTAGTGTATTTTAATTTAATTCCTCACTACACATTAACTATAGATTACATTAAATATTTTAACATCAAATTTTTTCAGATGATTCTAACCTTTAATCTTCACAAAGCCATCAATAAATAATTTTTTTTCGTTTTGTCTTTGGTTTTTAAGTAGGTATTGATATTATGCCTCATTTTTTCGAAAGATTTATACCTTCTATTAAAAATTTCGAAAATTTTCCCCTTATAATTTTCAATTTACTAATAAGTATTTACCGTAGTCCTGTAGTATACGAAAAATCAATATCTCAGTTGCAATAATGGTGAGCAGGATTTATTTTTCTCAATGTAGCGCTTACAAATAGGAACCAACATAAAACAAAGTTAGAACTTTCAAGATTTTTTACAATTTGTTAAACTTCTGAAATTCCGTCTTTATTTTTAAACAAAAATATTATTTTTGTAAAAGCTTTTAAATATTTAGAAAATAACTTGATGGCATGAGATCACCTGATAGAGCAAACTTCTTTAAGTGTTACTTCACCAAATGGTAATATGTCAGTTAAAATTTTCTACCGTTTTCTACTTAACGCAAAATAAACATAATATGGTTTTTGTATAATCTCAAAAATATTTTCAATTTTGTTTGAGGCAGTCATAGTATCATTTAAAATCAAGTTCAAATCATATAGACATTACAGTGAATATATTATACAAGTGGACAATGAGCTTTTATTTTTAATTGGTCACCATTTTAAACTCCAGCCATATCATTCAATAAACAGAATTCAAGAAATAGTTCTTCTATCTTAAGTTTGATCGGTTTATTGTCTTTTTTTTTCAATGACTACATAACGCATTATTTGACTCGTTTGATTTTGTTTTCTAATATATTATGTGGTATCAATTATTTAAAACAAAACGAAACATTTTGAACATCGGAAATTAGAGTTTTTGCACATTTAACAATTATATCAATTATTACAGAAATAGGCTATCTAGTTGGTGTGGTTCCTTAGAAATAATAAACATTTTTTTCGATGTATTTATAAAAAAAAATAAAAAGCTTTGTTATTTAGAAAATCTCCTAAAGTTATTGACTATATCGCTTCTGATAAATCTAGTTTTATTAAACATTAAATTTCATCATTTACACAAACAACAGTTGTTATTTCGAAATTTTCATAGTCGAAAATTTAGATGAAAATAATTATAGCTATTAGTAAAAAAAAAATTTTTTAACATTTTAGCTATAATAATAAAACACGTTCACTTTATCAGTAAGTACCTCGATTTTGTCATACTATCAACTATAAACAATTAAACGACTGACACTTGAAATCTTTATCAACTGCATGAGCAAGCACACATGTGTAGCAATAAAACCTTAAAACTCTATTTATTTTTTTTTTTTTTTTTTTTTTTGTTGCTCACGTTTGTGTTTGTAACAACCAATTGTGTAAATATATTATGAAAACGTTCGTTAATATATATATATATTAAGTAGAAATAAACAGAAATTTGGCTTTGTATTTTGGTATAACATTTATTTTATTGAACTATTTTAGACGAAATTTTGAATTTACTTACAATATCAGTTGTTTCTGAAAACGTATGAAGGAGATTTAAGTGTCATATCCTCTTCGTGACTTTTCTTTTTTTCTTTTTTGAAAGACAGACACACCACATTTATGAATTTATTTAACACCAGCCTAGTATATTGACTATTAGTGTATGGTGTGACATTATGTTTGCGCCTTGGCCGTAGTCACCGAATGATGCCGCAATCAAGCACCGACCAACGTTAGCAGCTCTCGGATGAGTGACCACACAGTGGATTCTTAGCACATCCCAGATACGAGTGATAAAATACAAAAACCCAAATCCCATTGTTACAAGCTATAGTAGCTGTACAATGCACATAACTTATATATCAACTTCACAATAAACACTATTGCACAAATATATTATTTTATAATATTATATTGTAATAGTACAAGAAATCATGCTGTGCAATCGAATATTACTTTATCACGATGCGACGACTCACATCAGCAACTAGGGTCAGTCTTGCCCACCCGGCTACCCAGCGGTTGGAATACCTTAGATATTTTTAATTATTTTAGGTCCATAGCCAAATAGAATAATGTTTATTTAAATCACTTATGACCGGGTCATTTTAAATTGTTTTTTAACAATTATAAACGTCATTGTGTATCCAACATAATGTGCATACTTATACAGCATTCAAATACTAATTTCTTATACTTCCAAACACACAAGTTAGTTAAGTATAAACGAACTAGTATTACCAAACTTAAAATTTTAAAAACTAAACTTGTCTTTGATAAGTTATAATATCTAGATCAATTAACATGTCTATTTGTCGAAGAAGAAATTTCATCATTAAATTTATAAGCGATTTTAAAAATATTAATATGTAAGTTAGATCTTTAAACAATAAATTTCAAAAAACTTCTAATTTAATAATAAATTATAATTCATTTAATTAATATTATTTATGTTAATTGATTATTTCATTATTATTTTTTAATTTTTTTTTTTTTAAGATAAATCATTTTCTATTTTATGTGTACATATGTTTTTTTACATTAAAAGAATACCTAAAACATTGATTTTATATTTTTTGTTTTTAATTATTATGATAATAAATTATTTTATTGGAACAAACTGAAAGAAAAATAATTT